GATCACTATCATAAATCAATGTGTCAAAGTGAAAACTATATGGTAAGTTTCAAAGTTAGAATTACGGTTTTTGAAAGTTTTAGACATGATATTTTTAGAAATTCAAAGATTTAAATTTATTACCTCAGTATAGTTATCTGTAGAGAATGTTAATGAATTACACATAATGGGTAATATCCAGTTTTACAGATAATCGTACTTTACAAAAGATATCTGTCGATGTCTTCTTCTTTCCAAAAATTCCATGCACTTTGCATGCAACGCATTTTTTACCAAATTTGTTTGTAATTTTATGGTTTTTTGAAAAAAAAAAGGTTTTTAGAGCCTCTACTGGAAAGCATTTCTAAAATGAATTTTGTTTTTGTCTTTCATTTCAGTTAGCCCTTTTTATATAAGTAAATAACATCATTTAATGTTATTAAGTATATCAAACAAGACTTACAGAGAAACAATCCTATAACAGCTATCTAAAGATATTTGAGTGATAACTTTAACACATCAAAGTTTTCATAAGAATATATCACTATAGTATTTCAAAGTTTTCATAGTGTCAAAGTTATCAGTATAATAAATCAAAATTTCAATGTTATCACTTTAGTTAACTATAGTTTTCATAAGGTCAAAAATATCACTAAAGTTAACTATAGTTTAATAAGAATATTGAAAATTGTTAATAAAAGTAAAAAGGATAGAAGATTGTCTATTTTTACATTTTCCTCAAGTTGTCTAGGTTTAATCTACGATTTCGCGGACGTCTGGAAATAAAGATACTAATTAGTATTTTTTTTTTGCGCATGCGTTCTTTTCTTGCTCCGTTATTTTTTCTATCTTTGTTTACAGACACCAGACAGTCATCACAACAAAACAGTTCACGAAAAAGGAAATATGACACGAATTTCAAACTTGATAAAAATAAAATGTAACAAGTAAAGTAATGTTTAATCAATATTATAGGGAAAAAGTTAAAAGTAAATAGATGAAAAAACAGTTGATCTTGAGAATTGAAAAAAAAAAACAATGCAGAAAGAAAGAATTGAAGAACATTTTGAAGACGAATTTAAAGAACATGAAATGGGTTAAAAAAGAAAAGAATAACATTTGGCTTCATTTCAAAAATGTAGATTCAAAATATTTTTTTTAATTTTGAAGAAGAACATGTCGAGGTAGCTTAATTTGGAATCGTTCCCCATAAAGATTAAAGCAATGTTTGCATAATTGTAATAACTTGCTTGGATAATTCATTTTTAATTTTACACTATGAGATTTAATTTAAGTCTTCAAAGGCAAATTTATATATTATACCTCCCCCACGCTTGAAAAGGGTATATAGTAATCGGTCCGTCCGTTCGTCCAGCTGTACGTCCGTCCGTCTGTTTGTTACGCTTTTGGATACTAATCTCTTATCTGCAACTCCTCTCAAATCACTGAATGAAAGAACTATATGCGGTATATTGCATATATTTGCCCCAACAAGTCAAATTTTCTACACATTATATTAAAATATTGATCCTGAACACACATGCGCTCGGTGACTATTATTCAAAATATCGACGAAATATGTACATTTTTCTATAAAATTCATGAAAACTTAAATTTACGTCATGTTTGTGACGTCATTACGTACATATGGCGTCATAACTTATGAAAATATTCAGTGCTTTGAAGTCAGCGTATACTCCCCTGTTCAAGAACTTAATTAGATATATCTCCATCAAAGTTTGATTTGAGGGGCAAATATTGATTATTACCGAATTAAGTTCTTTAATGAAACTTTCATAGAATCTTTATTACATATTGCCATTGTGCACCTCTTATTTTACTTTTTGACCCAACACATATTTTGGGTTTTCCACAGCAAAACATGGACAATGCCATTTTATACATATGGGGGGTATCATTTAGTGAGCTCATTGCTTACAGTACCTCTATTTAAAATTTGTGCATGAATCTTTTTAAATGTGTATTTTATGAAAATTTTGATATGCCCTTTCTTATATATATATATATATATATATATATATATATATATATATATATATATATATATATATATATATATATATATATATATATATATATATATATATATATATATATATATATATATATATATACTGATTGAAATTAATAAGGGAACGTATATTTACTGTTACTTAATGTTTAGCATGTTTCATATGTTCGAGGCTCTATATAGCTATTGTAAACTGAAAATGTTAAAGCTTATTTTCACTCAAAAAGAAACTTTGCTATTGAAAATTGATTTCCGTGATTTTTATGCAAGAGTATGCCCATTTAACACTTCAATACTCGACAATAATCATTATACCCGAACTTTGAGAATCATGCCAAGAGCATACATTTTTGAAAATCAAAAATGACAGGCTATCGGATGCATTAACGGAGGTCAATCAATATGCCAGACTTCTAGACAAATTAAACAAGTAAAAAAAAGGCATTTCATGTCTGTGGAACCGGTACCCCCAGACAGGGAGAGTAAAGATTAGACCAGGATGTGGTTCCAAAAGTAAAACAACAGCTTGTAATGACCGTGAGCCAGTGCTGCATCCCCTACATAACAGATTCAAACCTGCAGAAAAATCAAATTCTGAGTTCAGGGCGGCAAGATAAATAAGAATTTTTGACCATACTAACAGAAACAAACTTAAAGCAGGGGGCCTAAAGTCGCGTCGTCCTGTTGTTGGAGTGAGGATGACTGCTGAACAGAGGCGTTTCAGAAGAGCATGGGCTTCAAAACATCAAGCAACTTTACAATTCCAACTTTGGCGCTATATCATGTTAAATGAATTTTTGTTCAATTTGGACTTTGCAGACGGTCGATTTAGCGTTTTTCGACGCCTTCGTGAACGTTATAATCAGTGTACCATCAAACAACATGATTCCTATGGTGGTGGTTCGGTGATATATATATATATATATATATATATATATATATATATATATATATATATATATATATATATATATATATATATATAACGGGCAATCCTCTAAAAACTAATGTCCAAATAACTGTATCTCAATTTCTATTCTCAATGACCGTGTTTGTAGGGCAGCGTTGTGAGAATTCCATCTTTTTCGAAAGCAAGTTTTTAACTTGCCTAGATAGCCGAGCGGTCTAACGCGCTGTTCCTGCACTGCTAGGAGACAGATTCCGTAGGTCGAGAGAACCCCGGGCTGGGGCGGAAGAATGAGTATCCTTATAAAAAGTGAATTTCTCTGTGCTTTCTATATTAATATTTCTTCACTTAGGGCAGTTATATTAGTTTAAGAGTTGTTGTAAATTGTGCTTTATATATATATATATATATATATATATATATATATATATATATATATATATATATATAAGGAAGGGCAAATCAAAATTTTAATCATTTTATCATCATCAGCGCATACATTGTGTTATATATATTATTAATATTATATGTTATTATATATTATTAAATGGCCATGTCAAGCACGCCAAAACATATAAAGACTTGTTTTATTCACAGGGGTCAAGATCGACCCTGTGTAAATTCGGACTAGCATTGTTTCCCTTTCTCTTTTTGTATGCATAAAGTGATTACGTTAAATCAAATACAGTATGTTACCGGCCCCTATGTTTTTGACTCTATTTACAGACGTCAATGTCTAAGTCAAATTTTACGAAATTATTATTATTTTGGCAATATAACATGCTAATGATGTTAATATTCCTTGTTACTTTGTTAAAGCAAAAGGTTTTCATACATTTGTTAACCGAATCAGACTACTGACAAACAATTTAATGTTTCGATGATATAATATAATAATTTCGGTACATCTAATTCATTGTCACCATTTTTCGAATTCCTTCATTGATACATAAAACTTGTTTGCGTATACTAGGTGTTGTTAGGTAGAATGTTGACCACAGTTTTGACTAGAATTTTTACGTCAAATAATTTTAAAAAATGTCTTTAAATAACTCCTTTACTGCATCATAATTAAGGGCTTGATATTTTCAGTAGGACCGCGTTTGCTGTGCTTCTAAAATGTAATGTTGATTTAAAAGCGGAAATCATCTTGTTTGTCATACAATTTAGTTGTTAGTTAGTGTTTGTTGTCTATAGTTAGTAAAGCATCCAACTATGAAACAGATGTGGCAAACACTGTGATGTCTTTACCATCCTCATTGGATTATTTGATTCTCGAAGTTTCTACTAATTTATAGTGCAGATATTAATGGAAAAAGCACGCTGCTTCCGCATCCGCGTCCTTAGAAACTTTGACTAAATCTTGATCCCTTGAAATTTTGGCCGGCCAAACCTCCATGTCTTGAAATCTTGGCCGATTATCTCGTAGCAGCTTGGGAGTTAATGATCAAGTCACCCCAAATCTTAGCAATTGCGAGGGTTATCATGGCTAGGCCAGGATTTACGAGCCAGGCCAGCAGGGGATTCTCATGCTGCCAACATGGATTGGCCAGGTTGTACACGGCTAGGTCAAGATTTTGAAGAGCGTGGGATGCCCATGATGCAAACTTGGGAAGGCAAGGGTGACATCATGGACTGCAAACATTGGATGACCAGGGGGGCATCATGGGTGGCCAGGGTTATAAATAAAGATTATATAGACCATGGCCCTGAGGGTCCCTTATAGATTCAAACATGGGTAGGCCAGGGGTGACATCATGGTTAGCCAAGGTTAAAGCTATTGATTACATATAGACCCTGACCCTGAAGGTCCCCTATTGCTTTCCATAGCATAGAGATAATTAAATACATTTAAATACCATGAAAATATATAGGGATTAATATTCCACATTGGATCATGTAGACAGGCAATTGTGGCAAAAAAAAGCTAAAATGTAAAAATCTTTTTGGGAACCATATATTTCTTCTTTTTATATTGTCAGATTCTATTGCAGTTTTATACTATCCATGGATGTGCCTTTTCTTTGCAGGCAAATACATTAACTAATCACGCTAATAGTAAATAAAAACTGACCACTCTTAGTTTTATTTACACCTTTAATGAAGCTACAAATCAGACGACATATGTGTTTCTTGGAACACTCTTTAGTTAATACATAAATGAATACATGACTTAAAGACATTTCATACTCTGCATTAATTATTGTATACTGTATTTTTTTTATTTACTCGATGACCAAAAAATATGTGAAAAATTCGTAGAGATAAATTAAATATTTCGAGTTAAATCTAAATGAATTATTATACTATGGTTTGTTATTTCCCAATAATCTTGCACAATCATGTCTCTGTATTACAAAGACAGGTATGTACAGGTATCCTTGTCTTTTGTGTCCATACAATTCTGTCATCATATAAATTTCATCATCCCATTTAATTTTACTGACCAGATTGAATTCTATCAATTCTTTTTATGGCTGCCTCACTTATCCTATTAACTTGATTCTCTTCTTCAACAGCCTTTTTGTAAGAGACCAAAGCGGCTTCCTTATGATCAGTGAGTTCTTGGCAGATCCCTAGTATCTGCCATGATATGTTCCTGAACTCGCTAAGCACGTATTCTCCATTGTCATTGTGAAGAAAGATAAGGAAATCATCTAAAGCTTCCTGTGATTTCCTTGCGTTAACACGACGGTAGCACAAGACCAATAGAAAATAAAGCATGACAAATGGAGGAATACCAATTGCAGGCATTAAATTTTTCTTACAGTCCTCCTGTTCCAGACTTAACTCGCTGAGATAAATAAGGTCACTATCTAATACTATGTCTGTGACAAAATTCCGATTCAATCTTATGGACCATGGTAGTCCTTCTACAGCTTCCCCGTAAGCTGAGTCATCTCTTGTGTATCTGTACATCAAAGAATTCTTGAACATCTCGATCTTTAAACTCTCCAAGACCTTTACGGCCTTTAGATATCTGTTTGTTTGATAAAGGAAAAGCGCTACATAAAGGGACGTGGACAGAAAACCTAATTTTCGTGACAACCTCAACATCTCATCAGATCTCATTTCTAAAAGATATCGTGTTTTATTAGAAGCATTTGTGCAATAAGACAATGTTTCAAATGCAAGTATGCGAAAAACTTCTGATGCATAGACTTGCATAAATGTTTTCTGGTACTTTGTAATTGTAAAATGTTTATCTTTCAGAATTTTTTCTAGCACATGTAAGCTTTTGATGGGATTGAAGATGATTTTTATTTGATAAAAAGTATAAGAGAATATTTCAAAGAAATATTCACCATCAAATTTAGGTATAGGAAGTTTAACTTGAAGGTCGACTGGGATTGGACAATTGGTATACCTACGTAATTGTTTTTCTATTGATGGGCTCAATAATAAACATGATGGCCAGATCCTCTCGATGCTGATAAGCTGCTGATACAAATTGTGCTGCACGTTTCCGTAAACCTTCCCAAAGAACATATTGTTTTCTGGAATGAAGAAGTTTGGACATACGCCATGATAAACGTAGTTGATAAAAGTTTCAAAACATATTCGGAAACATTCTAAAAGATTTTGTGGGTGCCACTCTGGTATGATATTTTGTTGAATAACCCAGAATAATACCGTTTTCATGTGATATGAACATAATGGTAATTCTTTAATTTCTTCTTTCAGGACCTCTTTAAGAAACATTTTTAGTAAAATGAAACACAAGAATTGGCAGTGACTCAGACAATCCGCGAGTTTATGCTCTGCCTGTGAAAATGAAATCCTCCATTCGGTCTTTTCATATAAAGATGAACGGTGACCAATTGGTACGACATGGCATCCGTCATTGATGATGTTCCGGACCATATGAGGTGGAGGCCAATTTCTACATCTACCTATCCAGGAAATGGCTTGAGTGGGCCAGAAGTCGGACTTGAAACAAAACGCGAGGTCAAAATCATTATGTCCCAAAGTTCCACTGAAACATGGACCGTGAGGGACAGATCCTGGTCCTCCGAGAATAGAACACATGATGTTACTGTATGTACTGCTAGAAATGTACCGTCTGTTATTCATAGGAAAACATGCAAATATAACATCAGGTCTGTTTGAGGCATTTAGCAATTGAAGAAGAACATAGCCGGGCAGCTTATGATCACTTTCCATCAATATCAGCGTAGTGTTTGGAAAATTGTAATGTCTGCCTTGAGATAAATCACATATAACTTTATGAGATATCGGCCATACCATTATGTCACTATCTGAACTTTCCAATCGAAATCCCTCTCTTTTGCTTCCACTGTACAAGACTCTGTATCCAAAGGGGAGAATTTGGTTATCTATTCTATTTTTTATGTCCATTATATCCCTTCTCATGTCCCGTTCTTCCTGCGAAGCTATTTCACCCTCTCGAGAGAGTCCGACATAAAGTTTTTCTGATGCACGATGTAAATATTCCATCCTGAATATTTTTAAAAATTAAAAATAAATTGTTAAGAGGTAAAAAAAAACAAAGGTAAAAATCAACTATAATTTACATTTTTTAAAAAATATTAAATAGATTATGAACTAAAATTGATATATAAACACTAACTGTTTAAAGATTATTGAGGAGTTTCTTTAAAAAGAATTTTTTTTAGAAATAAAGTAAATTTTGTATTCTAAAAATATCTACAAACATGGTCGTGTGTATTTATTCTCCAGTGTAAGGAAGGTTTAATCTTACCTCAAAATGAAATGTGCATGTTAAAAAGGAGATAAGCGCTGAAATATACAATGTACATCAGGATTATTCTTTTTATATGAATATGTTAATACAGACTCAAAGTTCGCATGCGCGTCCATTGACAACAATAAAACCGACACCAGAAGCACTAATGTATGCAGCTGTAGTCAGAGATTTTATCCTTGTCTCCGTAGATCTAGAAATATTTGTTATGTTTAAATCACTTATGAACTCTTGATATTATTAAAATCTGAGAATTCTTGGAAAGTAAACGATTCATGCATATAATTTTGCTCTTTATATATATATATATATATATATATATATATATATATATATATATATATATATATATATATATATATATATATATATATATATATAAGCACTAAAAAACCAACAACACTGTATATCCTAAATGTCGGATCTATCAAGTAGATACAAGGTCACGGATGGAAATTTATATAAAGCACTAAAAATGACCAACGACACGAACAATAAAAATTGTCAAATTTTCGGGACGCCCTGTCCCTTCCTCAGGACAAAGAAAAAAGTTAAAAAGGCATAAGAACAAAGGAAAAAGAGAAACAAAAACAACTAGCACTACTACTAAACTACTAAACACTAGATATTTACATACTTAATTACATGATGAATTGGAAATTTTTAAGAACACTAATAAAGAAAGAAATCCGGACAGCTATGAAATGCGTCCGGTCTATCGGGTATACTCGGGTGAAGTGCGATTTACATAATTGAACGAATTAATTATGCTAATTAATTACGACAATCAGTAAATCGTACATTGTTTCATTCTCTCAAAATGGCGTAAATTTACTTAATAAAGAATAATCAGAGAAAAATAATATAGCAGGGATATTTAAACATATGAATTATGATCAATTATACATTTTGAAATATTTAAGGACTTATTACCGGGAAAAAATAATTAACAAAGGTGTAAGCAATACATAGTTATGAAAGTTGTTTGAGAGTTGGTGACGCAAATTAACTGAAGAGTTTACACTAAATTGAGAGAATAATCTTGTTTAGTATCATCAGGAATTGGGTCTAGTTTACGTTCATTCTGGTGAAGTCATTCAGTTTGTTAATACCATTAGGGCGGAATGACTTCAATCTGTGCATCCAGAATTTTTCTTTGCTTTTTCTCTGAGCATCTGTCCATCTTGGGCTATGGTCAATCACCACTACTGTCATGTCCTCCCATTTGTGACCCTCAAGGTTGAAATGTTCCCCAACGGGTTCATTGAGTTTTTTGGTCCTAATGGTCGAACGGTGGTTATTGACTCTCCTGCGGAGATCTCCTGTTTCACCAATATACTGTTTGGAGCAAACTTTGCAACTGATGAGATAAATGCAGTTGTCAGTATGACAGGACAAATTCCCTAGTATTTTGTAGCTGCGGCCTGTAACAGGGCTGTTAAAACTGTCTGTGTCAGTGCTGTGCTTACAAAGAAGACATCTTCTGTCAGAGCAAGTTTTAAAGCCCCCGTTAGGTAATGGGTTGTCCAGTCTGGTTCTTACTACCATGTCCTTTAGGTTCCTTGGGCGTCTGTATGCAGCCAATGGGGGTTCCTTAAAGACCTCTGCCATTCGTTTGTTTGAATGGAGAATTGGTAGGTTCTTTTGAAGGATACCGCTAAGGTTCTTAAGGACGGGATGGTATGTGGTTACCAGAGGGACCCTGCCGCTATTGTCTTTCTCCTTGTAGCGTAATAGGTTTTGCCTGTCATGTCCCGCCATCTCATCAATAGCTGTTTGTACGGTGCGGGCATTGTAGCCTCTTTTGCATAAGTGGGACTTAAGAAGACCACTTTGCTCCTGATATAAGGCAGGGGACGAACAGATGCGTCGAATTCTGGTGGCTAGACCCTTAGGCACTCCCTAATGGCAGAGGTCTTTAAGGAACCCCCATTGGCTGCATACAGACGCCCAAGGAACCTAAAGGACATGGTAGTAAGAACCAGACTGGACAACCCATTACCTAACGGGGGCTTTAAAACTTGCTCTGACAGAAGATGTCTTCTTTGTAAGCACAGCACTGACACAGACAGTTTTAACAGCCCTGTTACAGGCCGCAGCTACAAAATACTAGGGAATTTGTCCTGTCATACTGACAACTGCATTTATCTCATCAGTTGCAAAGTTTGCTCCAAACAGTATATTGGTGAAACAGGAGATCTCCGCAGGAGAGTCAATAACCACCGTTCGACCATTAGGACCAAAAAACTCAATGAACCCGTTGGGGAACATTTCAACCTTGAGGGTCACAAATGGGAGGACATGACAGTAGTGGTGATTGACCATAGCCCAAGATGGACAGATGCTCAGAGAAAAAGCAAAGAAAAATTCTGGATGCACAGATTGAAGTCATTCCGCCCTAATGGTATTAACAAACTGAATGACTTCACCAGAATGAACGTAAACTAGACCCAATTCCTGATGATACTAAACAAGATTATTCTCTCAATTTAGTGTAAACTCTTCAGTTAATTTGCGTCACCAACTCTCAAACAACTTTCATAACTATGTATTGCTTACACCTTTGTTAATTATTTTTTCCCGGTAATAAGTCCTTAAATATTTCAAAATGTATAATTGATCATAATTCATATGTTTAAATATCCCTGCTATATTATTTTTCTCTGATTATTCTTTATTAAGTAAATTTACGCCATTTTGAGAGAATGAAACAATGTACGATTTACTGATTGTCGTAATTAATTAGCATAATTAATTCGTTCAATTATGTAAATCGCACTTCACCCGAGTATACCCGATAGACCGGACGCATTTCATAGCTGTCCGGATTTCTTTCTTTATTAGTGTTCTTAAAAATTTCCAATTCATCATGTAATTAAGTATGTAAATATCTAGTGTTTAGTAGTTTAGTAGTAGTGCTAGTTGTTTTTGTTTCTCTTTTTCCTTTGTTCTTATGCCTTTTTAACTTTTTTCTTTGTCCTGAGGAAGGGACAGGGCGTCCCGAAAATTTGACAATTTTTATTGTTCGTGTCGTTGGTCATTTTTAGTGCTTTATATATATATATATATATATATATATATATATATATATATATATATATATATATATATATATATATATATATATATATTTTTCATTTTCTCTTTTATAAACTATAAACTAATCTGAGGGGTATTTTACTGGTGCTTATAAAAACCCAGTCGAGAGAAGAAAAAAAAAATATATCATTTTTCTGCCCCCACCTTCGAAGAAGGAAGGGCTTATTACTCTGCTGCTGTCTGGTGATCTGTCTATCTGTCGGTCCACCAAGTTTCCATTCATTTTCTTCGTAGTGGGTATATATAATGAAATAAAATTTGGTATACAGATTTTTCATAGAAATATCTAGGTCAAGTTCTGTTTTGGGTACGAACAAGCTATTAAACTAATCACATAAATCATTATCACACGTTGAAGTCCTTGGAGAGAATATTTATGTTTTGCGTTGTAAATATAATTTTATATACCATATTTTATGTTTTGTGTCATTTAATTTTTACATACGATAGAAATAATTGATTGTAATTTGATGATCAAAGTTTAACATTAAAACAAATTCTGTATAAAAGTTTTGGAGGGGAATTTTTTTAAATACATTTTTCTTAGTTTATCTTGTTTTTTTTTCTACCTTTTTGCGGATGTCTGAACAATAAAGATATCAAATAAAATTTTCTTTAAAAAGAATCCTTCTTTTTTCTTCCTCTGTTAGAACTTTCCTACTTTTCCAGACACCAGCCTTATCAAAACAAAAAATGCACAAAAGGAAATATGACGAGACTCTGCCAATTCATACATATATTACGTTTGTAATTTTCATTTTTGAAATCTAGCTAAAAAAATGTTGTTTAAGTTTAAATAAATGCATATTAAGCCTTTTGACAGTCTTAACTAAGCTGCAAAGATAAATTTTAGAGTTACTTTAGATAAAACTCAAATCCTTCAGTCATTGATCGCTTACATTTGAATTAATTGATCTTAAGTTTTACTTTTCAGATATTTCATTTTATATAACAAGCTACAATACATTTAATTTTAATCCGGAATTTCACATTATACTTCCCGTTTAAACATTGCTGTAATATGATGTCGTTTCTTTGTTCCTGCGGTTTGAACATTTGCCTATAGCAGTCCAATATTAGTGAGAAGACTGATATTAAGTGTTAGTATATGATTTTTTCATTACTGCTACAATTTGAAACTGTTACTGAACAAAAAAAAATTAAATTGTTTTTATTAAGCTAACACCAGATGTGACAGAAACTTTTATTTCTGTAGTGTACATGCATTGTCTTTTGTATTTGAGGATAATTTTTGTCCAGTTGGCAATGTTTAAAATTATATAATTTTCAATGCTTTTTTACGTTAGTTGTTTTTAGATTCCTATGGTTACATGTGCATAAAACTGATTCTATGTTACCAGACCAAAAACAGTCAATATCCCTTCAATCAGTCAATATCTTACACAAGTGCACAAGAAGCACGCGGGCCTTATAGGTCACCTGAGTATTGTGCAACAGCTTTCAAACGATTGAATTTGGATCGTGTTTTAAACAAGAGGCCATGAAAATCACTATTTTGAAAGAGGCACCATTGCATACCATAACTATGCACTTAGCATGCTCACTTTGATTATTTAATACCCAGAGGCATATCAGACGAACGAAGAAAAAATACATTTCCACTACATAATCAATAGTTTTCCTACCCATACGAACCACTGATCCTGCGGCCACATATTTCAAAATTTTGGAAAGGGCATCTTTGCTCATCATAATTGTTTGATTACTACCAAAGAGCAGATTTAAAAGCAATTCATTTTCAGAATATAGTCATTGAAACCTCCAGGGTACCCCTGATCTAGAGGCTTCCTTTTTCATCATAATTGTGCACTTAGATTATACATGTATGCATAATACCCAGGAGCAGACGAGAAGATTTTCAAAGAATTAATTCATTTTGACTATATAATCATTAAAACCCCGACCTAACATCAGAATCCCTGACCGAAGGGCCATGAAATTCAAAGTTTTGGAATAGGCACCCCTCCTCATCATAACCATGCACATAGTTAAATGATTTAACACTCAGGAACAGAGGAGAAGATTTTAAAGAAAAACACTGTAATACATTTTTACTACGTTTTCAACAGAGCCCCGCCTTAGCATCAGAACCCCTGACCCATGACATTCACAAATTTGGGAGAAAAGTCTTTGCTTATTACAGTCATAACAACAATTTCAGTTCATTATGTCTAGGAGTTAAGATTTTAAAAGATTGCATTAATTTAAGTGTTTTGGCCGCACCCCTCAGAGAGGGATGAGGGTGGACTAATGACATTCACTTGTTCTTTCCCTTCACTCAGAGATGATATATAGGTGTATGCCAAAATTAGTTAAAATGGTTCATCGTTTCCAGAGAAGTTGAAAATGTTCAAAAGTTAACGCACGACTGACGACAAAAACAGATAGCAACAGATAGCAATACACCTGAGTTTCTCAGGTGACTTTAAAAGTCTTCGAGAGGAGATTTTTTATTTTTTTTCAACATCCTTAGTTTATCTTGGTTTCAACTACGATTATGCGGATGCTGTAAATAAAGAAACCAGTTAAAAATAATTAATTTTTTATTCCATGTTAAAAAATATATCTATATCTTTGTTTACAGATTCAAAACATTTTTCTAAACAATAAATGAATACAAAGGAAACATGACAGGACATTCAAACATGTTTTTAAAAAAAGTAACATATGAAGTGATGCTAATTTTATATTATATGGAAAAAGTAAATTAATAGATGCCAGGTAAAAAAAAAACACATGAAATTTAGAAATGAAAGATAAAAATAAAAGACGGTGAAAAAAATCAATATAAAGATGAATTTAAAATAAAGTAATTAACCCATTTCTTGCTTCAATCTTCATTTACGATCCCGTTCTGATTTTGATTTCCAAGGCAGTAAATGGCCGGGGGAGAATAAATATCTGGATTTACGCATTGAGAGTTTATATACAATTGCTACCTACAATAAAAATGGATTGATTAATTTAAAAGGTAATTGTTCGTACGTTTCATTGTCTTCAAATACGTTGATTAACTATTATAATAGTTTCTCTTTTAGAAAAATATTCATGTCCTAATGCAATGTCTTTTGCCATGCAAGCCACGAAAGATCCATTAAAATTTTCAAAAACTGCAGAATACATCACTCGGGTCTGATAACGACAATCATTAGACACCATTGGTCCGAAAAATGTTTGTGAAATGTTTCTTGGTGCTACTTCATACATTTCATTAGAAAACATAACAAGTGACAATGTTGTTGTAAAAGCATTCATTATTGCGGTGCAGTTAATTGTGTCTCCTCCCAGAGAACCATTGATATACCTAGGTTCGATCTCGATCGATATATTGGCAGGAGGAGCTGAAATGATATGAGTAAATTCATTTTTAAACAGACAGCTATTTCCAAGGAAGGATTTTTGCTTAAAATTCTGTCTGTCTGCAATGAATAGTGAGAAAATCTACAATAAAATATGGATAATTTATATAAAACGTTCTCAAAATCGGGATATGAATAAACGTTTTGTGTATTATACTCATTGAATTTTAAAAAAAAACAGATTTAGATACCGTACCTGTGATGATAATCTAGCTGCTGCATGTTAGCCCATTCAGACTTAACAATATCATTCATTGTCACGGAGCATGAAACTTTATATAGGTGATCCAAGGAACAAATATCTGTTGTAGGCGCTGTTAAATTTAGAGTCATGTTCACAATGATATCATCATAGCTCATGCCTGTGACAACACTGAACCTGTCTACTAAATCCGGTTTTTCTACAGTTTGATTGTAGTGGAATTTCTCGATGACATGCGATGTCTGGTTGTAATAGACGGACACGCTAACATATAGCCAGTCTCCTTGCGGGGTGATGCGACATGCCTGTACTGTAGTTATTTCTCCAGGGACTGCAATAATACTAGGAACACTGACATCTAACCAAAAACAAGGTTACTGTATTAATCATTTGATTTCAAAGTATCAAATCAAATATTTGTTGTTATTTTTTTTTATATCTAAAATGCTATTTCTTCAAGATAGGCAATATCGGCTGAACTGAGTAAATTTCTTGGCTAGAATGATAAAAAACTTTTCAAATTTTCTGTCCACTAAAACTTCACAATCTTTCAGCTAGGTTGGTATTTGAAGATTCGTGATATAGAATATCAGAAGTACCAACTTAAGTGGGTTTTTTTGACAGTTGCGGTACACTGGTACTTTCGAATTGTCAAACAATTAAATAGTATAGAAAATGTATCAGAATAGACAGATACAACACACACCAAAATGTAAGGTATAATCTGATTTTTTAAAGCATACAACAAAACTGCTAACTCTAGCGTAGCCTAGCATCTTGTGAATTCGTGCCTATTTGCTTATTTCTTTCCTAGCTGACTTGCATACATATAGATCAATTTACTCATCTCATTAAAATTATAAGAAAGTATTATTTTTGTCTTTTATTGAAACCTTCATTTATTATTTTTTGAACAAATTTCTCTTATCATTCCACCAAATCAATGAAAACTTGCTGACCTTGAAATTTTGAGAATAAATTTAAAATACATATTTATCACTTTATGGTTACGGTTTTAACAAGTGCTCTCATCGTCCGATTTATGTACTAGTCCGATTTAGATATGTGAGTTTTCTACGCAATTATATACGAGGGTTGTCATGTAAAATCATGGACAAGTTGTCTCGCATGAATAATAATCATCACTGCGTTCTGAAATTTTCACTACTTCTTAGCACATATTTTCTGAATTAATATAGCAAATTTTAAATATATATATATACATAAATAAAGGAATTAAATGAGATTTAATATTATGTATTGTATCGCCTTACGGCGCACGGATGATAACGTCAAAGTGCCTAAAACAGCTTCAGGTACCTCAAGTTTCATTTTTGCACTAAAACTAAAGTTGAATAAGTCCCACTTAAATTTTGAAATTTCATTGAAACACATACTTAAGTCTCCATAAACAATTGAGGAACCAATCTGGCACAAATGTACGATCTTCTGATGATTTATTAGTAAGATACGGACAATATTCCAACTTCTGTGTTTAATAAGTTTACTTTTCTGTCGATATCGTCGATATCGTATCGATATCGAATCATGATTGTTTAAAGATTTACAAGAATTGTTACCCTAACCCAACATCTTACTTAAAATCTAATCTAAAACAATGACAACCCTTATACTTTCTTAATCATAATTTATTTTCATATTCATGCCAATAATGAATCATTTTTGACTTCACTTTGTCTTTGTAAAATTATGTTTAACCTCATTGTGAAAATAAATTGTGCAAACAGGATCGATATCGATACGATATCGTCATGATATTGTCGATAACGACGACATCGACGTAATAAAGAGTCTCAAATATGATACCAAGTATTTGCAATTAATAGTGTTGATCACGATCGATATCGATACGATATCGACCTATCATTGTCGATATCGTCGATATCGACATCGAATTCGTTCTTGGACAAAATAATTCTTTAACCTTCTATTTGATAACCAAGCGTTGAAGCTTTTGAAGTTCTAAATGAATCTGGTGTACCTGTAGTTGAACGTGGAGAAGTCGTCGTTGCTTTTTTCAAACATGTTGCCTTTGTTGTTTCATCTGTTTTAATTGACAATGGGTCTTTTTCAAAAACTACAAGCAGTGTATTTAACGATAAACTTCGTCCTTCGATGGTGTAAGTTCCCATTCTTATATTGCTTGGTCATCATTATTGCAGTTTTTGAAATCGTGGGAAAGTTCCTCATCCTTGACAACTATAGTCGGGTCAAGGTATAATTGTGATTCCAAGACAATGCTGTCAGACGTGCTAGTAAACAAAATATGAAGGGTATTTATGGGTAGGTAATTCGTAATCTTTTTTATTACAGACAAGATATAGCATTCAGTGGAGGAAGAGAAGAAGTCATTTATTTAGTATATAAATGGCAGAAAAATCAAAGAAGTCATACATAATTATATATGAACACAAAAAGTAAAAGAAACAAGATGTGTTTGTAAAACACTGATGCCCCCGTATGGCAACATAGCAAAGATTAAGCTTTTCTTAAATGCAAATTTAATTAATTAGTACCAAAATTAGGGTATTCTCACTGGAAAACAATTGTGAAATTTGAAAGTAAGCTAACGTTTAAGTTTTTTAAACACAAAAATCTCCAAGGTCAAGGTCAAAAGGTCAATGTAATTAGTATCAAATGAAAGGTCTTGCCACATAGAATATTTTTGTAGAGCATGAAATCCCAAGCCCTAACCGTTCAGAAGGTATGGTCAACGTTCAATTTCTTAAAAAGTAGGTCAAACTCCAAGGTCAAAGTCAAAGGGTCAAAGTTTTTGTTATCAAATGAAAGGTCTCGTCATAAGGATCAAATCTGTTTAGTATGAAAGCACTAGCCCTAACTCTTTAAAAGTTATGGTCAAGGTTTGCTTTTTTAAAGTAGGTCAATCTCAAAGGTCAAGGTCAAAGGGTCAAAGTTCTTGGTAGCCAATGAAAGGTCTTCTCATAAGAATTACATGTATGAAGTATGAAAGCCCTATTACTTACCGTTCAAAAGTTATGGCCAAGGTTAAAGTTTTTTCACAAGTAAGGAAATCTACAAGGTCAAGGTCAAAGGTTCAAAGTTGTTGTTAATCAGTGAAAGGTCTTTTAACAAACATTACATATGTGAAGTATAAATGTCCTGGTATCTACTGTTCAAAAGATATGGCCATAGTAAAATTTTAAAATTTTCATGTAAAAGTGGGTCAAACTCCAAGGTCAAGGTCAAAAGGTCAAATTTGGTGGTACCCAAGGAAAGGTCTTGTCATAAGGTTCAATATGTAAAGTATGAAAGCACTGGCCCTAACTCTTTAAAAATTATGGTCAAGGTTTGCTTTTTTAAAGTAGGTCAATCTCAAAGGTCAAGGTCAAAGGGTCAAAGTTCTTGGTAGCCAATGAAAGGTTTTCTCACAAAAATTACATGTATGAAGTATGAGAGTCCCATCCTATACCGTACAAAAGTTATGGCCAAGGTTAAAGTTTTTTTACAAGTACGGAAATCTACAAGGTCAAGGTCAAAGGGTCAAGGTTGTTGTTATCCAGTGAAAGGTCTTTTAACAAACATTACATATGTGCAGTATAAATGTCCTGGTATCTACTGTTCAAAAGATAGGGCCAAAGTAAAGTTTTAAAATTTTCATGTAAAAGTGGGTCAAACTCCAAGGTCAAGGTCAAAAGGTCAAATTTGGTGGTACCCAAAGAAAGGTCATGTCACAAGGAATACACATATGAAGTATGAAAGTCATAACTCCACTAAATCAAAAGTTATGGGCAAGGTTAAAGTTTTTGAGGACAAACAGACAGAGAGACAGACAGACAGAGGGACAGGCAGACGGACACGACAAAAACTATATGCCCCCGAAACTGCGTTTACGGGGGCATAAAAAGTACAAAACCTAGTTCTCAAATTATTTAAATACAACGGGTGTTTTGAATTAAGAAATATTTTTCGATTTATATTTTAAAGGCGCTGAAAATATCAATATATTTTAGTGTCAACTATTGCATTATTTATCTTTGTTTTCTGCAAATATATCCAAGAAAATTATGTAATACAATACATATGAACATTAAAAAGCAGTCAAGGTTTCAACTTACCGTATATCGTCAACACAACAGAGTCTGAAGTTATCTCCAAATCTGCTACAGTTTGATATAAACGATCCCAACTTGCAAATACATGTAGAATAAATGTAAATCGTCTTACCATTCGAACGAAAACAACTGAATATCAATTATTTAATCTATTGAATTAAAGGATTTATTTCATATTAGAAACAGTAGCCCTAATACCTGTTTTAAAGGACACAGATTTGAAATTAACTTTTTCTGTATAATGTTACGACTTCTATATTTTAATAGCATTTCACACAAAAATAAAATTAAAATCTTTTTTCATCTAAAAGTTATTAAAACTTTTTAGACATGTTTGATTGACACATCCTTGCAGTCTCACAAGTTTTAATTGTATTCTTTATACTTAGGGAAAGTGACAATCTTGTTGTGTATAAATGGAAAATATCAAAACTACAAGCCAGAAAAATCAGAGTAAAAATGTTTGAAAGCAAAACATACACACAGTATATGTCAGTCCGTGCAGTGGTCATGATGACCAGACTTTAACAATTGAACACACCCGGGGAATCGTAAACATTAACAATAACAGAGCTCGTGCCCTGTTTACAAAAACTGAAATGGGTGTGATCAATTTGCTAAACTCCGTACCCCACACTGAGCTCGGAATGACGATACTCGTGAAGGAGATTTGCTATATATAATTGCTGAATATAATTATTTTTCTGATTTAAAGATTTAATATTTCTTATTAATACACAACAAGATTGACATTTTTCCTAATTATTAATAAAAGTAAAATTTGTGAGAGTGCAAGGATGTGTCAATCAAACCCATCCAAAAAATTGAAGTTTCAGTAACTCTATTATCAAATAAAATTTTAATATATTTTTGTGTGAAATGGTATTAAAATATGTAAGTCGTGATATTTTACAGAAAATATTAACTTAAAATCTTTGTCCATGCACCTTTAATTGTTTGAAGCAATTTTGTATGTTATCAATTAAAAAATCAAGCTCAAAGTTTCATTCTGATGCTAACAAAAATAATTGTTAGATACCGTAGAGCAGAAAAAGCGATGATCATTAAATAAATAAGCTTCCTGCGAGGAGTTGATAATTGTAAAACTTCCGAATGTTATATCTAAAATGAAATACCATAGAGGTTAACTTGAGATATATTACGATATTTTTAATCTTCATAAAACATATTTTAAAACGTACATCAAGGATATCATATGATAAAAGGTACTCACAATATTTTTTGGTGCTGTCATTTCCTACAGAAATAAGAAAGAATCTTAATGAATTATCTTAAAAATTGTGGAATTTGTCAATATTCATGAACAATTATTCTTTGATGGAAATAGAAAGATTAATTTGACCTAGGTGGTAGAATAAAAATACTCTGACCGAGATTTTCAGCACCCTTGACATCAATTTAAATGTATCTTTTTGACAATGATTTATAGATTTATTTTATTTCAGAGTATTTCCAATTTATTAATTAAGGATCCACTGTCTAGTTTGTTTGGTATTCCAGGGCATCAACGATAATTGGAATTTTGGGATAATTTGCATAACGGGCGAACATATCGTTGATATCCCATCATACCCAACAAAATAGAAAAAAAAATTAACGTAAAAATTTATCAACAGACCAGGTTTCGCAAAAGTAAATCGACTTAAAATTTCCATATTTACGGTATTTCCATTTCATTGTGAAATAAAATTGTAAATTTAGATTTTTGAAAAATTGTCAAATAGATTTAAATTAAACGAGACTTCCCGTGTTAAGTTCAATAATCCCTACTCACTGACGTCAGACACAAAGACAAGTAAAGACGCACGAGATTTACATGCATACTTAGACCTTCATAGTTCCTGACCTTTCGCTTAGTGAAATTTTTTTTTTTATTTAAATTTTATTTTAACTTTCACATTTATATCAAACAAGTATATACAAAAGTACGTTCACAAATATATCTTCCTTCAAGTATCTACTATAGATAGTGTATATGAGTATTAAATTTACAGGAAGATATCCACATACACAAGTCCACATTTAATTAAACACCTGTGAAAGTTGTTTGAATATAGGATAGAAAAAGGAGGAGATGAAGAAAGAGAGAGAGAGAGAGGGAGAGAGAAAAGAACATTAAAAAGAGAAACTCAAAAACAAAAAATATATAGGGGCAACAGTGTTGTTTTTTCTTTACATTAAGGGGGGTGTAAAGATTAAGATTTGTTTCATGAAAAAAGTTCATAAATACATATGTATATGTAGACTTGTACAAATGAATCATATCATATCACAGATGCTTTGCCAGTTATTCTCATACTCTGTATATTTACATTGTTTCAAAAGTAAAAATTTCTCAATCAAGAATCTTTCCACAATAATTGTTTTTAAAGTCATTATACTTAGAACAGAAGGATTTTTATATTTAGTCGAAAAAATATAATTCTTAGTTATCAGTGTCATCAAATTTTGCACTTTATGGACATCCTTATTCTTATATTTGCCAAATAATATCGTTGTTCTGTCAAAAATTACAGATATATAAAACTTACACAGAAACCATTCTTCAATATCACTCCAAAGCTCTTTTACTAAATTACATTCAACAAAAAGATGTTCAATTGACTCAATGTCAGTCTTACAGAAACTGCATGCTGGAGATTCTTTTATCTTAAGTTTAAAAAGATATAAATTTGTTGGCACTATTCTATGTAAAATTTGAAATTGTAGCCACTGCAGTTTAGATTCTTGGGTGATTTTAAATGCCAGTTCAAAAATTTTACTCCATTCTTGCATGGTGAATACATATCCCTTTTCATTCCATTTTAAAATGGAAGTACTTGTTTCTTTCTTTCTATTAATAAGAATGTCATACATGTCTTTACAGCCTTTCATATTGATGTAAAACATCTTCACAGAACTGGGTAAATTTGGACCATAAGAAAGAAATATATTCATTTGGTTTTTGCTAGCAAATCTGTTACACACAGCCTGTTTCAAACCAGAAAATTCGACAAAATTTGTTTTTACACCGAGTTCTTTAAATGTGTCTAAACTTAAGAAATTATTATCTAAATTGAACAAGTCACTTATGAAAACAAAACCAGCATTAAAATAGCTTTTAAGAAAGA